AGAGCTAATTCCTTGGCACCTGTGTTTATCAATAGAGGGGACTTTGCAGGTACAGGTATGCACAAATTTAATGCAATCCATTTCCAAGGAGTTTTTGTGTTTTACCTATATATTTCCTAAGAGTAAAATGAGTTATTGCATTTTTATGTCCATACCTTGCTAAAGTAGATAGAGTCATAATCCTCTGCCTTTGATTTTAGCTGTTCTTCATCACAATTATCTAATTTTCTTATTTTTTCAATGTACTCGTCCCTGAAAAATTGATTGGGCAATTAACGCATGTCCAATTTATGCATGAACACTTAATGACTTTCGGTGGCGAAATTCAATAAAGGTTGTCCTTTGAAACCTTAAACTCTAAACCCTTAAACCTTAAACTCTAAGCGCGCAAAGCATAATGGGAGCACGATTTCAGCAGTTTACAAAGCATATATGGAACCCATTTCTTGGAGACATGATAAATATCTCCCTGCAAAAACATTTCATTGACAAACAGCTGCAATAATCAACTACTAAGCTTGAATCAGTGCTCCCATCATGCTTTGCGCGCTTAGAGTTTAAGGTTTTAAAGTTTAAGGTTTGCAAAGGACAACCTTTATTGAATTAGCTGTATATATATATATGCAGATTATATGCAGATATAGCTGTATATATATATATGCAGATATATATATATATATATATATATATATATATATATATATATATATATATATATATATATATATATATATATATATATATATATATATATATATATAGGATACGAGGGATATCCTAGGATACGAGGCCTCGACCACAATTTATGAATAAGGTCTCACAACAAAGCGAAAACGAATTCTGCACAGATTTGATTGCAATAACTTTAAGAACTCTATAAATAAAAGATTACATTTTGCGTGACGTCACGTACTTATTCCCATGTATTAGACATAGTCATAGTACCTGTGGACTGTTAACAATTCTTCATCTGTGCCCATGCGAGACTATAACAAACACGGATATATATTTTGGATATTCTGCAATTGCTTGAAAATTTACGATAAATTGTTTTATTATATGGCTTTTCAAAATTTTCTATTCTGATTGGTCGACAAGCGGTCCGTAAAAACCCATATCCGGACCGTGGTCCGTATTTTCCGTATCTGGATCGGTGTCCCGGATGTCGTTTATCTGGCGGGAAATTTTTGCTTTGCAAACAGAAAAAAATTTTGCTTTTTAATTTTCCAATTGTGTGTCATTAAAATTTACAGATAAAAATTTCAAACAACCAAATTGTTTTTGATTGAGCATGCATGCCTATACCGTATATTGTTACCCAGTAAAACTGACGATAGCCGATTTAATTCAATATGCTCACAGCCTCAGTCCAGCCATATAATAAACCGATTATTGACCTCGCTTGTTTGGTCTGCACTGTGAAATATCAGACCTCTGTTTTTTGCATGGACCTCGCTCCTTCGTCGCTCGGCCCATACTAAATATTTCACAGTACAGACCTCACGCTCGCTCAATAAGCCGTTATAATACAATACAATTTTATTTCGCCAAGATAAAACCTTCAGTATACACTATTTTACTAAAAGAAAAACATTAACTGGTCAGTTTACAAGATTGCCGTCGGTGGGAGTCGGTGTATATATCGCTAAAATTATTATAATAGTGATTTGTAGTCTTCTTAAATTGGGAAAGTAGTGGAATCATGCGTATATACTTTTCTCATAGGCCTAATGACTGAAGTTCTTGCTCCAGATATATATATATATAGAGCTCACTCGTGACAAACCGCACGCGTGCAAAGTAAACAGCAACAAGCGAATAAGTGAATTTAGTGAAGTAAAAACAGAGTAGTGTTATTGATATGTACTATAATCTATATACTTCACTAAATCATTCTTCCACATCCTGTGTTGCTACGCAGTTTGCCACTCAAAAATGGCGGACAAGGTCTGGTCGCATGGCTTGAGAAGGCTAAATGAGAGATATCGAGTCAAGTGAGTCCCCTCTCCTCCACAGAGCCGTATAGTTAAACACAATGCATGGTTAAACACGATGGAACCTGGCTATATACCCGCAAATTATGAGCAAGTGAGTCTAGCTTGCTCGCAGCCTGAAATTGCGATTCAAAAAATGGGAATTGTAGGAGGCTGTCTGGGTGGAGCATAAGTTCAAATGTTATTTATAAGCACACAAAATATCAGTGTGGCAATTTGAGAACTTATTGTCGATTTCAACTTACTTTTCACTAAAATGTTCCGAACTTCGCAAATTTGTTGCAAAGTTCAAAAGTTCATAATGAAATTCACAAGCAGGTTTGTAAACAAAGCCTCTGATTGGCTACTAAGGGGCTGTTTATATGAGAGGCGGGACGGGACGTTTGCCGGGACGGGACGATGAACGAGATCCCGGCTTGTATAAATTTCTATTATATTTATCACCAGATGTTTATATGGAAGCGGGACGTTTTTCGTCCCGTCCCGGACAAGCGGGATCCCGGTTTGTGCAACCGGGATCCCGCCTCAACCGGGACGTTTTCTTCCATGTAAACACTTGTTGCCGGGACGGGATGGAAGGCGGGATGATTTTGGTGTATTGAAATAAATGACTATAGGCTTAAATGAACGTTCAAACACCGGTTAAACTCAAATGTTGTTAGAGAAGATCTCTTAGTTCAAGAAGATTATTATTGCTGCTTGAACAACCTTTCGTTTACAATTATACTGTCAGTAATCTATCACTAGAAAAATGTGATTTTGCTAAATCGCGCACCGTGACTTATTTCAATATGTCAAAATCATCCCGCCTCACATCTCGTCCCGGCAAAGCGGGATCATGTAAACAGCTGCCAACCCAGGATGTATAAATCTCCCGGCAAACGTCCCGTCCCGCCTCTCATATAAACAGCCCCTTTATCAAACCAGCCAATCAAATGCTTGGTTTACAAACAGATTTGTAAATTTTATTATGAGCTTTTCAGCTTTTGAACTTTGCAACGAATTTGCGAAATTCGGAACGAAGTTCGGAACATTTTAGTGAAAAGTAAGTTGAAATCGACAAGAAGCATTAATCTACGATGGCACAGTATCAGAGACATCATTGCGGTACATGATATAATTATCAGTTATAGACCTGAAACGAGGGGTATTCCACAAAAAATTACCCTGAGGGATGAAATATTCCGAGGGCGAAGCCCGAGGAATATTTCATCCCGCAGGGTAATTTTTTATGGAATACCCCGAGTGAAAGGTCTATAAATGGTATATTATACCGAACCTTTCAAAAATAAGTAGAAAACAAATACCATTCAATTAACTTTTAATTTCAAAACACAACTTTTGATAACTTTACATTTAAAAAGTCGAATTTCCCGCTCAAGCGTGGTATTCGAAGTCGAATACCATGGCCCCGGGTAAAACACCCAGGGTTCAAATTGCCTAGGTCATAGTATTCGCTGAAAAATACCATGGTCATGTGGTACAAATTTAGTTCTCTGATTGGACAAGCTCATTGTGAGGTATAATATTACATACAGTCACAGAGATCTTTTTTTAGGATTTTAAGATTAGATTGAGAACATACTTTCACTTCCTTTCAAAATTGATCTATAGATTAAGATATGCCCATGTGATTATCTTTAAGATTTTGTTGGCACCTCACTCGATTGAATAATAATTGAAAGGTTTTGTAGATGGAAAATTGTCGAGTGTGAATTTATATAAATTTATTAGACCTATATCTCGACAATTTTCCATCTATAAAACCCTTCAACTATTATTCAATCGAGTGAGATGCCAACAAAATCTTGATATTTACCCATATAACTTCACATGGCAATAGCCTAGTATACAGCTATTTCAATTAAGGTTGTCCATGAGCAAAGCGGAAAAGTCGAATACGAGCGCGAAAGGCTGCTGGGAATCGCTATGAAAATTCATTAATTTTTTAGCGATTCCCAGCAGCCTTTCGCGCTCGTATTCGACTTTTCCGCTTTTCTTGTGGACAACCTTAATTGCACTGTAAATTTCAAGGAGTTGAATCAACTCAAAAAGTTTTATTCTGTAACCAAAAACGGTCTAAAACGATTACAGAATAACACTTTTGGAGTTGATTAGGACTCCTTGAAATTTACAGTGTGAAATAGCTGTATACACATGAACTAGTGTTTAGAGCTCGACAACTGGCCTCTTTAGCTCAGTTGGTTAGAGCACTGCACTGGAATCGCAGGACCGCAGGTTCGATTCCTGCCAGGGACCTACTGCTGTATAGCTGCAATTTTCGCAGTTGTTCCTGGTTAGGTCTAACAAATGTATATAAATTTACACTCGACAATTTTCCATCTACAAAACCCTTGTCGTAAATGAAGTGTTGAAATATTACATATATGTTTTAACGCTTACCAATAAGCATGGAAAATGGATTTAAATTTTCTAGTTCGAATTCAACTCTCTATAACAACCAAATGACGATCTTCGACCGTTTTTCGGTAGATGCCCGACAGGACTTGTTCTGTAAAAGATATACTCATTTCTATGAAAGTAGGCAGATGTCTGAAATATATGCAAAGTGTGGGGGGGGGGGGATGAATGTCGGAATAAAGGGGGGTAGAGTGTCGGAATAAAGAATTACTCACTCGCTTCTTCGTCTGCGAGAGTATGTGTGTTAAAAGAAAGAAAGCATACAAGTCTAATTTGTCTCTACTAACGCTTAGCCTGTGAGTATAAAGCGGCTAATGATTAATGAGCAGTTACACCTTACAGCAGAGACGGTGTCGAACATCGACGTAGGCTATATATAGTAATGCATACTTTGCTGCTGACGCCACAATTCCTCTTGATTTAGTTTATGGCGAAATTTGAAATTCAACCACTTTATACTCGTGCGTATATTCGATACATACAGAGTACACATGACAAATCGCAACGTGTAAACGTTCCTTTAACATAAAACATTTCTGTTCTGTCGTTTATCTATTTCTTAGTTCGTGTGTTTCACTGTACGCTTGTTCGTTTTTATACGGCTATTGTTGTAATTGTTGTATAACATAAGTTTAATATGGGTCCGCAATAATTGGCCGCAGCTGTTGCGGTCTTCCTAGCATTGCATGCATGTATGTTTAATCACAATGTTGTACATATAGGCAAAGTTAATTAAATTAAATTAAATTACAATGCGTTATAATTGTAGATTCATATACATCTTAACATTGAAATAAAAAAGCACATCAAAGTAGTTCAGGGGATTTTCAAACTATATAGTCTATACTGATTGAAGAACCGTGGGGCCGGTTGTACGAAGGCCGGATCAAAGTGATTTTTCAACCGTTGTAAAATTCACGCTTCAAAAGCTGTAAGATATATGGATAACTGCGGATATAGATCTCACAATTAATATAAGCTTGAATTCATAAATACTAAAGTTTATTTTGGGTTGCTCCCAAATTAGAAAGGTTGAAAAAATCGCTATTCCCCCC